AGTAAAAGGCCCGGACTGACTGAAGTGATTAGAACGCTGCGGCCTTTTTTGAAGCGGTGTGATGTCATGCCATTTTTAGTGCTTAAAGCACTCTCGGTGGAGTTTGACTCCGTTCTTACTCAAGCCGTAAAATAATATCCTAGGACTGGAGAAGCACACCAACTGTTTCGTGCTAGAAATAGTAAACGCTTCTTTCTTCTGGATATATAATGCCTATTTGAATTGCGGTAATATGGAGAAATGTTTCCGAACAAGTCAAGAGAACTGCAGAACCTGACTTAGTGACTGTTTTCATGCAACACTAGCAATCACAGTCTAGCGTCAAACACCGTCTTTGAACCAACAACTGACGTCCAGGGTGACGCTCATGGATTCAATCATACATTACTGTTTCTTATTCTGGACTGCCACTGTCTGCAACATTTGTTGCCTTTAGACTTCACGAGCAAGGAGGCCGTCTTTTCCAGTGAGTCTTTGCTAGGTAAAAAATTAAAAAAACGATCATATTTAAGCTGAGCGAGGAATGTATGACGCTCGAAGGGAGATCGATAGTCTATAGACACGAAGACAAAGAACTTCCAGGGGTTATAATAATCATCTGGGGGATATTAATTCAGCAAAAGAATGACATTCTGCTGTCGGTGCTGAAAGCACACAAATTAGAAAGCACTTTGAGATGTCAACTTGGTTGATGCAGTCGACATCTTGTGGGAGGACGTTTCCAAGACATCATCAGGTTTGGTTGTCTTACGCTTACTTCCAAAGAACCGAAGTCAACTATATGAGTTTAAGTTTAGAAAAACGAAGGTCCACTGTAAATTTGTTGATTAAACAAGATAACTGGAAGCTGGAGGTAAATTTTTTTTACTTACTTCGATTGTTGACACACGCAGCGTCTGCCCCTTAAGTTCCTTTTGAATTTGCGCTTGGGTCATTGCAAACTTTTTGGTGACAACGAGTTCATCCTTTTCATTGTAGTATCCAAACTAAAATGTAGTCCAGGTACCCATTAAATGACAGTCAAAATTCGTTAAACTCAGTGAACCTTAGTTTGCACATAATTTTACTAGCCTAGAATGTTTTAGGAAAAGTGATTTTTGGGCGTGATGATTTGCATGAAGAATTTAATCAGCAAAAATGTGCTATTATTAGCCCTTTTCCAGCATTGCATTAAAAAGAAGTCACTGGTTCAAATATATTTAGAGTAAATCGTTTTCACTTTCCACTTCGTTCGCGGAACCTGGATTCCCTCTGCAAGGCGAGCCTTAACTTACAGTTATGCATATTTGCTCAGAGGATTAGAGAGGTCTATAATAATTTCAATCACCTCGCTAAATCCGTCCTTGTCGATTTCCCAGACTGTTATGTTCATATTTTGTCGGCGTCCAAGTTCGTTGAACTCCATTCGGCCAGTGAAACCAGAAGGAACCTCAGGGTATCCCTAGAGAGATCATAAAACAAACATAAATGCCGCTTAACATTTTTTTCCCTTCAATAAATGATGATGAAAGCATTGTTTGCAGCGTTTTATTAATTTTCACATAAAAATGATCGTGGACATCATTTGCGACTGAATTAAGGATTAAATTTCACAAAAGAACATGACCAACCTGTGGCTGCTTTAATATCTAGTCGTTGTTATGAAGGATCTTAGAAGATAAAAAAGAAAGCGTGAGAATGTACCAACCGAATACCGGCCCGGCATTCGTCTTCAATCACCGGGAATCTAATTTGTTTGTAAAAATGAGAAGATGTTTGGAAATAACTGTTCTTTTCTCTGAAGTCTTTGTGATATAAAAAACCAAACTGGAAACTTTCAATGCAAGAGCAGGGAAGTATTGAACTCTTTAGCATATGCTTCTTCTCCAAAGTGTTGTTTGTAAAGCGATACTCAACCACGCGCTGTTCCATTAACAATCAAGAAACAATTCAAATACGGACTTTTATTAAATACCCGGAAGAGAGCAAGAGTTACCCTATATCTATAAGTTCACTTTTCCCCGCTCTTAAGTATTCAGCAATGACACTAATGTACAGTAGTCGCCAATGACCATGCAACGTTCATTATGAAATTTGACCT